CTGATGTTTCATAAGAAAGCATAGTATACTATGGTTTTTTTTAACCAGTTGTGATGTTAAATAAGGAATGTTTCCTCTACCAGTGATTAAGCAATGAAAAGAAACTAATTGAAAACGATCTCCTCGTATTACACAAGTCCTTTAAAGTGGAACTGAAGTTTGCCCATTTGGATTCAGGTAAGAGCACAAGATGTTATCCTGCTTCCCTTATAACTCCTATCACCCATAGACAGATTATTGAACAGCCCTAAAGGGCACAGCCTCAGGGACCCAAGGGCTCAGGGACACCTCTACCAAAGTGTTTCTGTGAAGCGACTGTATGAAGTGATAACATTTCCTGCTGGGGAGTCAATCAAATGACTAGAGACAGACACAAAATGACTGCAAAAAGGCACAAAACCAGTAAAACTAGGCACAAGACAGCCATAAAGAGTTGCAAAATTAATAAAGACACACAAAACAACTGCAAAGACAGAAAATGAGTACATAGTGATGCTAAATCAGTATGGCAAGACAAAATGACCGGAGAATCACTTCAGAGATTAGAAAACCTATTAAATTTATGACTAATATGACCACAAAAAGACACAAAGCCACTGAAGTAGCACAATGACTCAAAGAAAGGAAGAAAGAAAATGACCACAAAAAAGACAAAATGACTGCAAAGAGACACAAAACAATACAAAAAGATGCACAATTAAATGTAGAAAAACATGCCTGTGCTCTGGGGCCCTTTGTCTATAATACAGCCATACTATCACCACATTGTGTTGGTTCTCAGAGGTTCCTAAACTTTTTGGCTTGTGTGACTTTGGCTCTTAAATTAAGGTAAAGCCTGGGATGTGGGACGTGGGGGTCCAGTTCCCCAGACTGGGAACCACTGGTTGCATTTTGATTGCATTCCACGCCCCATTTGTTGTAGGACATGATTATGAGATTACTATTATTAATTACTTATGTGTATCATTTTTAAGTTGGTATTCCTGCACAGCCAGTAATGTTTTACCCTTTTCTATAACTTTTCTATAACCGTTAGATAACTGAAAACATCAACATCAAACATGCTTCCTTTATGAGAACAACCACAGTCTTTGTGTTGTTCGGATATAGAACTCGTGTCTGTGTCTATATGTGAGATGCTCACCTCCTGAGGTCACAGCAGCAGCAGCAGCAATGCATTGTTGTGTATTCTGTGTGGGCTGCTTATCTTTTCTATCATGTTTCCTTATTTGCCAACAGATGATGTCTGATGTCACAACAGTCAATAGGGCTCAAGATAAAAGTCGATGAGAAATAGGGTGTGTGTGAGTCACAGAAAAGGGTGGACCAATGAGGCAAGGTGGTGTGAACTGAAAACAGAAGTCTGACCTGACAAGAATAGTTAAGATGCTCATAGTGTTAAAAGAGGGGGAGCGTTTAAGTGTGTGTGAGAGAGAAAGCAGGAGACACACAGATATAAAGGGAGGGAAAGCATTTGTAGGTCCGAGCACATCAGAGTAAGAGAGAAAGCATGAGAGAGAGCGTGTTCATTTCTGGATGTGTGTGTGTGTGTGTGTGTGTGTGTGTGTGTGTGTGTGTGTGTGTGTGTGTGTGTGAGAGAGAGAGAGAGAGAGAGAGAGAGAGAGAGAAACAGGCTAACTATGGCCTATACCCTTAGGTGAACCTGTGTGTATCTATCACCATAGATATTCATGTTCAGATCAGAGCGCGGCGAGCTCACGGCCTGCACAACAGAGGTGCTGTCTCTCTGCCAAAACAGCTGTCTATATTTAATCAACGAGAAAAAAACAAGGAGTTTAAACAACTCATTTATAATTTAGATTTGCATACATTAAAACTGCTCATTTTAATCTTTCTATTAATATGCATAGACAATATTGTATAAATATGCAGTTTTATGCAAACTCCAGGGCCATTTTCTGTTTGATTTTAATTCTGTTTCCCAGCTGTGGATCATCATTTTCATTCAAGGCATCTGACTCAGATTAAGTCAAATATTAAGTCACAGCATGAGAGTGTATAAATACTTTTCAATTAAAAAGTCTGAGGAACTGCCATGCTACCGTGTCAGCATTAAAAATGCATTGGCATTGGGAGCAAAATAGGGGAAGGCAAGTTACAAGTTTGATAAGACAGAAGTTCAAGTCTACATCTTTGAACTATGTTTTTTTTCTTCTTTCCCTCCTCCAATCAGGCAGCTGCAATAGCTAGCAAGTTCCACTGTTTTGGAGACTGATACAAAATCTGGGGGCTGTAAAAACCAGCCAAAAACACACTGTGCCTCCGTTATTGATGAGCATGCTGTGCCTTCTGATGTTTTTCACAAACTGTCCTACATTTTGCCGTTTCTTGCCTGAGCTGCCACTTTTCTGTCCATGCAAATGAGGAGTTTTGTTCCAAAATGTGACAACTACCAACTGAGGAGTGTGACAACAGCTGCTACAAGAGGACTGCTGAGATAGAAGTTACAGTCACAGTGCATAATTACCAAAGTTATCAAATAACTTGATGATAAAACCCCCCAAGTGTGGTTATAGTCTCTGTAGTAGGGCTCTATGACTGCTAGGAAGTACTAAAAACAACTTTTGGTGAGGGATAATGACAAGGTACTTTTTAAATATGAACCAATCACAAGAAAGAGAAGGTGGGATTTCAGGTACAAGAGGCAGCCGATAGGCTCCCCTGACTGCATCACAGCACATCCTGTCACAGCCTTAGTTAAACAAAGCACACAAAAAGGGAAAGTAATATTTTTGGTTGGGTTTATCTACACCCATTTTAAAATAATAATAAGACCAAAAGTAAAAGTATTCATGTTGTCAGTATTTGAAAACATCTCACTCTAGTATGGAGATGAACAAACACTGTGCAGATTATTAATATTGTCAGTATTTTACAAACCCCAGGTTGATGTCGTAAAAATCTAATTTTGTCTATATAATGTTCCAAAAATCTCAAAATATCAAATTTACAACAGTGTAATAGAAAAAAAAAGAAACAAATTCTCACATCTGAGATGGTGGAACCATCATGTTTGGCACATTTTGCTTAACAAGAATCTAAGTTGCCAGTTAACTATCTAATCACTTAATTTACTAATTTGATATTTAATGTATGTGTGCAGATAAAATTCCAAAGCCAAATTTACAAAGACATACATTAGAGGTGAAGGATATGGAGGCCAAAAGCATTTTACTTTATTTTATAGGAACAAACATAGACCACTACCACAGCATGTAGTCCCTGTTTGCAATAACTTAGCAAAGGGGGTCTGATAAAAAAAAGGGTGCATCTGATAAAAATCCACTATCATGTGTAAATGTCATAATTGCACACTTGACAATCTTTGATTTCTACTGTTATGTTTTCAACTAAAATCCTGGTAAATCTGCACTCATCATCACTACAACTAAAGTTCAGATGGAGAGGGAGGCAGGCAAAACCCTAGACAAATCACCTTTAAAGAAACATAATCAGCAACCTGGAATATTATGAACTGGCTCCATGTTGAAGAAGAAAATCCCTTTCCCCACATATGAAATGAGTTTTGGATCCTCAAAGTGGAAGATAATTTGTTTTTAAACCAGTTGATGACAAAAAAATGCAGATACTGTTTGCTTTGGGATTATAGTGGAGCTCCAAACTAATGAGGTGGCAGTCATCATTTCAAGACTGTAAATAATAAATGCTGCAGCTACCTAGATACATAATCACTATAAAGTTCCTTTACTTAAGTAAAAAATTGAGATATTATACTGTTAAATACTTATATCATTTGTGAGTGTTACACTATTATACTGTACAATATAATTAGATTACATTAATGTGTATGTAGCATATTACTGCTGTAACTGGTCAAGGTGAAGGTAATGGGCAGCTTTAATCAATAATAAAAGTATTTTACAAGAACTGTAATGCAAACTTTGTAGTTACTGAAAAATAGTAATAGATGAATGTAGTTGAGTAGAAAAAAAAAGATGTGGCAAAAAGCAAAAATACTGAAGTAAAAGTACCTCAAACAAATACTTAAGCACTGAACTTGACTAAAGGCACCCAGATTATTTACAAAAGTTTAAAAAAAGGCAAATACTTGGTTACAGGTCCTGCAATCAAAATGCTACTTAAGTAAAAGTACAAATATATTAGCATCAAGATATTCTTGAAGTACAAAAAGTAAAAATACTCATTATGTAACATAGCATATTTTACTTTAATATGCATCATATTATTTGATTATAATTACTGATGCATTAATGTGTACATCACTTTAATGTTGCAGCTGGTGCAGGGGGAGCTAGTGCTAACTACCTTATATATTTATAATTTGAAGTGCTGCTGGGTAATGGGAATTCTTCACCAGGGATCAATAAACTCTTGTAATTATACTGTATTTTGTTTTATTGATCTGATTCTGAAAACTATCTAAAGTTATCAAATACATGTTTTGCAGTAAAAAGTTCAATATTTACCTCTGAAATGTAAAGTTCAAGTATGAAGTAGCGGATTATTGAAGTACTCACATAAAGTACTCATACCTCAAAATTGGATTTAAGTACAGTACTTGAGTAAATGGGCATAGTTACATTCCACCACTGGAAATAATGAAGAAAAGGGTTCGGATACACCATAAAATGATTCTGCTCCTGGAAACCAGAACTGAACAACGGTATCAGGACTAACATTTTCCCTGGAGCCACGGCATCTAAACATCCTTAACATTTAGACTGAAGATTGGTGGTAAACGTGTAGCAGCAGCCGCTCGCAGCCAGGGGACCGTGAATAGTGATGTGCACGCCCCTGGAAGTCATGAATAATGCGGGCTCAGCTGAGCTCAGGGAGGCGCTGTCTCTTTAAGAGGTTCCTCCCACTGCAGAAACAATCGTACAACTCCCCCCATCAAGTCAACGGACCTGTCAATCATCCGGTCGGCGCCCTTTGATGTCGGGACTCCTTGCCTTGTCTTGGGCTCAAATGACA